TATAAACTCAAACCCAGATAGCAACGTGTCTGTCTTGTTGCTTGTTAAGTATGCATTACTAAGTATGTGTTGCTACCAGAATTGCAGCAACTGAGTCCTCATTTGTTGGCAACTTGATGCCTTCACGATATGATAACATTGAGTAGCAACTTGCCAGCAATTTGCCAACAACTTTAAAATAGTCATCATCAAAATTCGTATTATTGCCATCATGTTGCCATAATAATATGCAGCATCATACAATGCTGTCATATTGCCGACAACGCAAGATAACATTGACGCAGCTATCTTGCTGTTAAACTGCTGGCAATACATATACACATTGTTGTCTGCGTGTTGCTACTGTATGTTGCACAATGTCGGTATATTCGAAATCGTTGAAGACAAATCTATGGCAAGTTGCCAGCATCATAAGCAATCACAGATTTGTGTGATTTTGCTGAGACACACTTTGCTATTTGGGAAGTTGAGTTTTTCCGCTGCCCACACTTTATTCATTGCACAAAAATTCATTCAATTACTGCATTACTTCCTCTGAAAGTGGTAATATATTTTTATGATTTTACAATTTAGGAAAATTTATAAAATATTTTTCAGCAATATTTCGCGATATTTTGCTCGCAATATAATCGGGACATTTGACATGTCTGTTGGAACAGCGGAACAACTACTCCGAAAACGAGACTGTCCCTCCAAAATCGAGACGTCGCCGCGTCGCGTCGGTTACATTATGGGTGACATAGCAGTCAAAATGTTAAAATCCATTTGACGATAATGAATATTTCAATGTGATTTTCTGTTATAAAGCATTAAAAATTTAAGTTCGTTAATATTTGTTTTTATTAAACGCCAAATATTTTGTTGAGCAAAATAAGTCAGTTGAAGTGCAGTTCTTGGCACTCGTTTTGCTGCGTACGTAAAATCGCTGTTCTACCATTTATGCAATCGCGACTCGAGTAAGCGAATAGACATTGTTATCGTGGCATTATTCTTCGAGATGCCGGTGTGACAAATATGAGAAGCTTTATCAAATCCGCGTGACTAGCTAACTCTAACGATTAATTATAAAATGGATATATCCGATTTACATATTCAATTACACAAAATAGATAAATTCGATCTATCTATTTTACTTATCATTCGACTTACTTGACTTGGACGCTCGAGACATTTCTAAATTACACACAAATACATTGAGAAAAAAAAATTGTTCGTTTGATTAAATTAATTTAGTTCATCTTGTTGAAGAATACTATATGTGTATTTAAACATGTATTTAAATATATTATATTTGACTTAAATACATACGTTCTCTAACGAAAGAAATAAAAACGAACTAAATTATAAATTTAGTCAAATAAACAATTTTTTTTCTCAGTATAAAAGAGTACCATTTAGAGTCGGACAAGATTCGCACTATAAAGTAATGTTAAATAAACACTACACGTGCTCATCGGGAAAAACTCTTCACGATCGCTTTATTTTTATCCGTGCCGAGCATTTTAGAAAACTCCAATAGCCGATGTGAAAAAGAATCTCCCTGGGAGAGCTTCGCGTTTATTAATAACTATCGGAGGTAGGTTGCAAAAATGGCATTGACATTCTAGAAAGAAGTTGACTAGAAACCTCAATTGTATCTACTCTAACTTCAATGATGCATACGGCTGCAGAATGCCGCAGATCCTCGTTGTATCTTTTTGTAAAAAGGCAGTAACACGAGGTCACGTTTCTTGCTCTTTTCTGTCCCTCGCTACATCATTTACTGTATCGTTACGTATTTAGACTGGCGTTACGATTTACGATTGAGGATAATGGTTGTGCGATGTCAAACATCTTTCCATGACAATTCACCGATTTTTAAAGAAGGACATGACCTGGTCAAAATAGGAATTTGCCAGATATATAAAATAAAAAACGATGTTCCAAACAATTTATCTAGGTCAATTATTCTGATTGTAAAGAAAAACAATTTCGATGTAATATCAAAATAAATCACTCTCCGGAATTATTTTTATTTAGGTTAATTGTTTCGGATAAAATAACGAATAATATATTTCCATCTCTAGTCTGTGAAAATAGATTAACGTGTTGCAAAGTGCAATTTAATGTCAACGTAATTGAAATAAATATTTGTTTCAAAAAGTATTCCTTAAAGGGATTCTTTTAGCGTACAGATGTGAGATAAGAATATATTTACAAAAAGACATAGAGAAGTGTCCTTCTTCGATTTGGATGAGTTTTTAATTTATATAAATGTTTTTAATTAAAAAATGTTTAAATTATTTTAATTTATAGTCCAGATCAAAATAAGGAACATATAAAAAAATACATGTCTCTTATTTATCTAGACTCTACAACATATTAAGTCAAAGAAAATAGATAGTATAAGGCTTTACATTAGTTTGCACAGCAAAAATACTAAATAAAAACGATCAAAATCGAGCAATTCAAATGTTTAATTAATATATTAACTTTTAATATTTAAAATCACATACAAAAATATCAATCATATACAAAAAGATATCTTCACGATTCTTATGTCATATTATTGGCTCTTTCATATTATTGAATTTGTATTCTAGTTTTAACATGATCTTTTACATTCAAATATTATTCCTTTAATAAAAACTTGCATTATTATTATTTTTTCTTATTATTAATTTATGAACTGAAAGACTCTGTGTTAGTCGAAACGTTTTCACTTTTGTATATGATTTTAAGTAATAAAAGTTATGCATTAATTTAACACTCAAAACATAAAAGCTTATCAAAATTAAAGAAAAGAGTAATTTCCTTATTAAAATTCGTGTAAGTAATAGATAAATTCTTTCCGATACGTTATTCGGATATCAGTCGTACGGTTTAATTTCATTTAACACTAGAACCACCGACAACGCCAATTTGGCTCCGCAGATATTAAAAATTGCTATAACTTTTATAAATTTCCGTATTGGTTAACAGTTTTCCCTGATTTTTTATCATTTTAGAAGTTTGATTTACAAAAAAAATTAATTCCACTCATGTTTACACAGTTTATTTTTATTTTTACTGTAAATAATACTGTATCCAATTCCGGCGGTTCTAGTGTTAAAAATTTTGTCTACCCTATCATTATTTAAATATACAGCTTTTCAAATACATAAAATAAAAAATGAATCTATCAAAATAATATATATAAAAGCTAATCAGAGCCAATGCCAGTTGTTCGGGTGCACAGATTTCTCTTTATTCTCGTGTAAATGTAACAATAGTACAATAAATGTTTCAATTCTTCGTTTTGGGTCCTTATTAATATAAAATATAATTCTAAATTAAATGCGTCTCAGTGTCAGATAGTAACGTTTCCATTTTTTGTACGTAATCTGTCTTGTCAAATGCCACCACCATATTACCTTTATACCATATTACCTTTATATGCCTGTAAAAAGAATTGTTTTTAACAAATGATTTTGTAATTATGATAAAAAAAAATTCGCTTTTCTATATCAGTCTTTTTAGAACATTGCTTGTTTTACCCCTTTGATTAAAGAAAAAATTCTGTTTTTAATTTCTCTAATATATGCGTAATTTTAATCTGATAAAATTATGTTCGCGATGTGTTAACAAATTCAATCATAGTGCTATTAATGTTGAACGTTGGCAAGCAGAAATTCTCACCTAATTATAACAAAGCTTTGACTTTCCGTGGTATAGTAACTTTGCTAAGATTTTTTAACCATTTTTCATTTACTTCAAAAATATGATGTATATGTTAATAAATTGGGAAGCACACAGATTAACTTTCATCACTTTGTTGTTTTTATTTGTCGGTTCTTGGAAATGAAATTTTTTATGAGTATTGCAGTTGCCAACGTCTGATATATTAGTTTCCGCATTATTATTGTGTATTACATAGTAATTAAAAAAATTACTAAAAATTAAAAAATTTTTTAAAAAGGACTCCGTAATACACATGATGTATAAAGGTATTAACAATTTTAAAAAGTTCATTAGAGGCTATAAAGACGTTCGTCCCAATTTATCTCGAACAGACGTTGTATATAAAATTGATTGCTGAGATTATGAAGCATATATAGGCCAAACAGATAGATGTTTGAAGACACGCATAAATGAACATAGAAATCATATAAACTGGAACACGACGCAACATTCCATAATAACTGAACACAGAATTAGTCTCCAGCATGAATTTAATTGGGAAAATATCAAGATATTTGACGAAGAAAGGATTCTTAATAAAAGATTAATTTCGGAAATGATCCATATAAAACAACAGAAATAGAGTTTAAATTTACAAAACGATACTTATTTTTTAGACCCACTGTATATGAATTTGTTTGCGGAATCATAATATTTTCTTCTTCTTCTCTTATTATTATTTATATTTTAATAACTATATGACTTCATTATTTTGACTCTCATTTCTGATCGCCAGCACCACAAGACCTTCACGTTGAGTCGCGAGAAACGCTTACATGTAAGTTAAGTAAAATTAAAAATAATTTCAGACAAATGATTTAAATAATACATAATTTGTTCGTTTTTTCTCACGAATGATTACATAGCAAATCTAACAATTTGATGTGCGAGGTAGCTTTTCCTACTGACTCAATGTATACGACACCGTATTAAGTTATGTAAGTTTCTACACTCTTTTTGTACAATTTTAATATTTTATGTTAATCACTCGGTTATTCACTAGCAAATTAAAATTTGGATAAAGAAGAACGGGTAAAATTGTCGTGTTTCACCACCCTGAAAGTTTTGTTAGATTGACCATAGTTATATTTTTAGTTAAGTTTACGCATTTAATTTAGAATTATATTTTATATTGATAAGGACCCAAAACGAAGGGTTGAAACGTTTATTGTACTATCGTTACATTTACACGAGAATCAAGAGAAATCTGTGTACCCGAACAACTGACATTGGCTCTGATTGGCTTTGTATATATTATTTATACAACTTTTCTATATTTTCGAAACGATTACTGTTTGCAGAAGTGCCTGACGACTCTGGATCTGACGTCTTTAGGAGTTGGCTCCTGCGTCGGGACAGGGATGTACCTTGTCGCAGGAATGGTGGCGCGCAGCGTTGCCGGACCTGGTGTCGTCTTCTCATTCATTATCGCAGCCATTGCTTCCATTTTTTCCGGTAAGTATCACATTTTTCTGAATATAAAGGGATAAGAAAAATAAGAACCGCGCTTTCCTCTCGCCATGAGAATCATTAGGCGAGATAGCACGATAGTACGAAAGCAAGCACGCCGCGCGGATCGATTACGATGTTGCAGCATCTTTGCTATAGATGCTCGAAGAATGCCATTCGCATTTATTTCGAACGACTTGCACAGAAAGAACCAAAAAGTTTTGTTGAATTATCTAAACTAAACATTTAGCTAGACACATATCTGAAAATAATTTTGTTTGATTAAAATAATTATGTAGAACGCTTGAACGATGATAACAATGTTGCAAACAGTTTTAATATTATAGTAATCAGTTTAAACGGTCTACATAATTATTTTGATGGTCCAAACAAAATTAGTTTCAAGTATTTAGCCAAATTTTTAGATACTTCAGCAAACCGTTCGTTCCTTGTATTTATATCGTCTAATACCAGTGTTATAGACGGACTTATTGATCAAGATCGATCGCGTTGCCTAAACACACCAAACGTCGCAAATTTAATCGTTCGACATTATTTAAGATCAGGTCGGCGACTCTATCACATCAAAGTCGCTCCTTGCGATCGTAGTCGCGGGCCGCGCCTTCCTCACGCGATTCCACTGTGATTCCACTGTGATTCCATTGCGTTATTACGTGGTACTTGCACACGTATATACATATATTCGTACGGGGCGCCGACTTTGCATGGTCCACGCGAGCGGAATACGAAAGTAGGGATTTATTTTTGCTGCGATTCACAACCCCGCCGAAGAAACGCGAGAGAAGGGGTAAGAACGAGGGTGGAAGTGGCCTTTAACCGTTGGCCGTTAGGATTTCCGACTATTTTTAAGGACGATCAATTTAACGATGGACAAGCACGTGTATGCCGACTGTATTATGTGGGTGTGATGTCAATGCTTCGACGAGGACGGCCGCTGAATGCATAATACTCCTAACTAGACACGATGATGTATAACTGTCGTATGACAGTTGCGAATAAGTAAATGTTTGATCGCTATCCGAGATCACTATCCGAATACGTACATCCGAATATCTATCTAATCCTCATGCATGCATGGAAGGAACGGTTTTGCTGAAGTGTCTAAAAATTTAGCTAGGTACAGATCTGAAAATTATATTGTTTTAGACCATCCAAATAATTATATAGGATGTTTAAACTGGTTGCTAAAACGTTAAAACTTTTTGCAATATTGTTAATATTTATAAACGTTCTATTAACTATTTTTACGGTCCATCAAAATTATTTTCAGATCTGTATCTAGCTAAGTTTTTAGATATTTCAGCAAAATCATTCTTTCCGTGTATACATATATCTTTGCCTTCTTCATTCATAATCAGTTTTGACGTAGGATCGTAATTAAATGACATATGAGCGCACACACGTGCAAGTTATAATGATAATTGAAATCTTACCCTCGAGCAGTCAAACTGTCCGAAGAATGCATAAATGAAACGTTTGCATGCACTAAATCATCGCTACATACAGCTCATGCGATCAAGCGACGAGAGAGCTACTCGCGAGGTAAATTCCTTTATAAAATATACATCACATATCTCACATTGCTGTTATACAACGAGGTGATGGTTCTCGTTGGAAGATTTCCTCGTTGGAAAGCTCAGACAATTTCGACAGCGCGATAAGTCAGGCATCTTTCTCACGCGCAGTAGACTCGAAAGAATTTGTAGTCCGCGGTGTGGCCGCAGATAAGAAGCTTATTCTACAAAAATATGGATTTCGGTGACGGGATATATGATACGGAAAATTTTCCACGGTCGATATATGTAGACGCAGGGGTGGGCAGTATTTGAAGTACATGTAGTAATTAAAATACGTATTTAAATACATTTTTGTATTTCGTATTTGAATATTTCCTTGAGAGTATTTTGTATTTTGCATTTAAATACTTTTCTCTAGTATTTTGTATTTTAAATTTGTTAATACTAAATACATTTAAATTATGTAAAAAATTTTTTGATGATAGTTAAAATCGTACCATTGTTGACTCAACCTAAAGTGCATGAAACGGAATATATTTCTAGCGTTGTTTCACCCAGGGGTGGGCAGTATTTAAAATACAATATGTATTTAAAATACGTATTTAAATACATTTTTATTTTATTGAGAGTATTTTGTATTTAAATACAATTTTTTTTTATTATTTTGTATTTTGTATTTAAATTAAATTTTTTTAGTATTTTGCCCATCTCTGTAGACGTATCACGTACGAATTTGTCAACTTTACAACGCCACGAGCAGATTCAGATCGCATAAAAGCGTAATTCTGCAGAATCTCGTGCAAATATCTTTAATGTCCACGATGCTATCATTATGAAGAGACCTCACGAGAATCGAATTGAAATAAAAGAAATCACATATTTCGTAAACGAATAACTTGAGAGGAGAGTACACAGAAGTATGGTTTTGCTGAAGTATCTAAAAATTCAGCTAGATATAGATCTGAAAATAATTTTGTCGGATTGAAATAATTATTATATGTAGGACGCTCAAATTGATGATTGGTAGAATGTCAAAACTTTTTGCAGCTTTGCTTGTCATGCTTAAGATTGCTATGTAATTCTAATTATTTAGATGGTCCATTAAAATTATTTCTTGATCTGTAAATATCTAGCTAAATTTATAGATGATTCAACAAAATTGTTTTTTTCATGTAGGGAATTGCGAGTATGAAGTGAATATGAATGATATTATTGCAGTATATTGTAATGATAATCTCTCATTTCACGTACCCAGCGATAGGGGGTATCCAATACTATACGCTCATAATGTAACACGTGTAACTATAGAATGCACACGCTATTTAAAATAAGTTACATTGTAATAACCATTACATGTTTTCGATGTTTTTTATTTAAAGGAAATTGGAGCAACTGCGAATACCAAGAGAAAAATTAATTAAAGCCGATAATTATTTATCAATTATAAAAGACTTTATTTAAAGGTTATTTGGCTTCAAACTGTAATATTTAACATTTATATATTTATAATTCATATTATTAATGTGTATTATAATTTTAAATAGAAAGACGAAACTCGTTTGTCATTGCTCCTGTGTGCTGATGATAACTGTGCGGCTGACAATTCCAAAAGACAAGGGTTTTGTATTTTATTAAATTAGTTAATAAAAATAGTTTACATTGATAATACATGAATTAATTATTGTATTATTTTAAAGCCAAATAACTGAAGTATCTCCTTTGAATAAAGATTTCTACAATTGTTAATTAATCGTCAATTTTATTTAATTTTTCCTTTATGTATTTGCAGTTTCCGCAGTGAATGATTTAATTCTCTGCCAGCCAAATTTTTGAACCGGATTTTGAAATTGATATTTTGATTGTAAATTCTGATAAAACAACTTTAATCTGTAAAAATAAATAAAATACGATTCGACTTCTATGATAATAAAAATTCGTCGTTAAAGTTTTCAAATGTGAAAGAATTTTTTCAGATTTTTATATACTGTTCAAATCAATATGAAAATCTGCACTAAAACTTAAAGATCCTCACCCGGGTTGCTGAAAGATGCAAAATTTCACGTGATCAACGGAAAGTTAGAAATTATTTGTAATTACAATCACAGTTACAGTTATACATACAGTTACAGTATATTCATATACAAAACTTGTTTTTTTTTTACAACAGGATATTTTAATACATAAAAATCTTTCTTTTATTTTTGCGTAAGAACTCTTTCAGAAATTGGACACCAGCGGGACAATTAAAAACCATGTCCGGAGTTGACGTGCTGTTACGCGAATAGTTTACTTTAACTATATATACAAGAGGTACTTTACATTTACTTTGCAGGTACTGTTACAGGCGTAAGTGCTGCACTGCGACGTGTTAGTTTACCGTTACAAGTACTTTACCGTTCGACACCGAGCTCCGTTCGTCGTATCGATAACATCTCGCTGGTTCGACTGTCCCAAATATCGATATCGCGCGATTCGTGCGGAGCAACCGCGGAAAATAACTGTCAAACGAAATTTACGATTCATCGTGCGATACGAGGCTTTAAACGTACCGTCGCGCGTCGTGGTCGTAAACTGTTCCGTGCGTGTTGCAGCTTGCAGGCGCGATGTTCGCTCGGCTGCGAAATTTCGAGCATGGTTTCTACTGATACGGAGGCGATGAATGGACCGAACATGTCTCAATCAGTCTTGTTTTGCTTGCGCCTATGTCGCCGATCCCTTTATCGTCTATAATTTCGTTGCGGTTTGCGTCCTCGTGATGCAATCAGTTACGCTATTCGTCGCTTTGTTGAATCGCGTCAGTATTACGTTTGTATGAAGAGAGCGAGAAAGATACCACTGATACTAGTTAGAATTTCTTTTAACTTTGCAGAAAGACCGATTAATTCAAATTTATTTTAATCGATGCCATTACTTTGAAAAAGGTAAAAAAATAACAAAGGAAAAAATATATAGATAAATTTCTCGATTTCCGTAAGTTAAGAGTAGGGAGGTTTAATTACAATATACATGTTCGTATTTCTAATTGACATTATAATCGAATATGCATGTAAGTAAATGGTTTTTTGTAATTATCATTGTTCTGTCGTAATCTCTTATAAAGATATCAGTTATAAAGATATCATAGAAAGATATCAGTTATCAGATATACAAAAATCCTTACAAAAATCTAATACAGGCCAATTTAATATTAGTAGACAGTAATTAATTATTTATTTTAAATATTAAAAGCATTGCCGTTTAGTATTTCTAATACTCCAAATAAGTAATTAATTACTGTCGTTCAATAATAAATCGAAATATTAAATTGGCCAGTCTTAAATTTCAGTGTACTGAAAAAGAATAATGTTGTATCAACAGCATTATTTTAGCTGAAAATAATCTTGTTGATTTAATAACAACATTAATAAAACAAATAAAATTTCGTTAAACCAAGAGCATATTTGTGTTTAATTAATAGTGTTATTGCGCGCGCGTGTGTGTGTGTGTGTGTCACTCAACACATTGTTTTTAATTAAAATATAGTACTGCTGATATAACATTATTTTTTTTTTTTTTTTAAGTAAAATTAAGATGTTAAATGGAAAGCACATACGAGAAAGAAATGCGTTGCAACTCGATCGTTATCTCGTTTGATCGTGGCCGCGTTTTCGGTAATTGTCGATCTAATGGAGTAGTGCTGTAATTAGTGCGGATATTCAGAGATCGATGCAGCGTGCGAATTAATGGCAGGATTAAAGCTAGGGTACGGTGATTCGTGGCGTGTTGTTTAATTAATTCGTTGCGTTGCTAATAGGAGAATGTTGCTATAGAGATACTCTATCGGCGGATATATAACATAGTATAGCAATCATTATTGACGTTACTGTAATCTCGGAATTATTAGTGTCATTGAATACCAAAGGCAACGCGTCGTGACCGCATCCTATTACGAGAAAAATTAGTTCAATCAGAAGCGAAGTGCTCAAATTAAAGACAGTCTGACGTGATCTCGTACAGTTTTCGATTTTCTGCGTCAAACTTTGTTTCTCGACAAACTAGGTATCCCTTAAATGCTTCATTATGAGAATAGTACACTATATAGCATATCCAACTCAATTTGATTGCTTATAACTTTATAAAAAAGAACATATTGTAAACAAATTTTTTTCAATTGAAACACCAGACATTCAGAGACATAATAGTATCAAGTGAATGTATGTATTTTTATTAACTTTTACAGGATACAGTGTTATATTTTGAAACACTAAAACACTAGGAAATAATAAATTATAACAAATCTTACTCAAGAAAAAATTGTAATAATAAGATTGAAAGACCGCTTATGTTAACTACAATACTTTAAACTAAGAAGCACCATTAACGGTCTGAACGTTAAGATGTTGAACTATTCTAAATTCATTTAAATGAATTAATTTCAGAAATTATAATTGCGTGCCAATATGGTTGTCGGACTTTCAACGCAATCAAATCTGAAATATTAATAATCCTCCCAAATTTCCCAACTTAAAAACTGTAATAAACTTATTGCGAAAAATAATGCCTCGGCCGGGAGTCGAACCCGGATCTCTTGCATTCCGTGCGAGCGTCCTAAGCCTTTAGACTACCGAGACCTTATACAAAAAATTGTAAGATTTTAAAAATAGATCCCTGTCCTCTAAAGATTAATAAAAAAGTTACAAGCAATGGGAAAAGTATTGGAAAAACATTGGAAAAAAGTCGAGTGTCGAAAAGGTATTTAAAAGTTATTAATTATATTTGTTCTTCTATATACGGAAAAAAAATGTAGCTGTCACTAAAAACTGTGGTAACTAAATGGCAAGTGTAAAATATGGACAGCTAAAATATAGATATTATAACTAATGTCTTAGGTGTGATATCTATATTATAGCAGCAACAGCATACCGTTTCGCTGTAGTTTATAAATTTATAGTTACGGCAGCAAATATATTATAACAAACTAAAATTAGCTGCGGCAGAGAAAATCTTTTTTTCTGTGTAGGTATGTCTTTTGTTGTGATCTCATTCAACTACTATAATAGACATTCGAAAATATAGGATTTCTCTTTCGATGTATGTCGTACATACACGTGATAGGCTTTACACTTCTCGTCGTTCGATAACCGCGAAAGTAGAGCTAAGACTTTTGCTTCCGCGAAGTTTCGTGCCGTCTTTTCTTTTCTTAGACTTGGCGGCACATTTTGTAATACCACACGGCATATAAATGTCGAGTTTAGCATCAATGGAGAGTAGATTCTTTAACATTGTCGCTGGCTGACTTCGTCGATATATAAATAGAAGTGATAGCGAGGGCGGTTGATGTCAAAGGTAACTTTGTCGTTCCACGTGGACGCGAAATCAGGACATGAGGCAGTAATTCTACAGAACAAATTTCGTTTTGCGTGACACTATATTAAACACACATGATAAAAAATGCCATATTTGGTCAAGACGGTTCTTCGTGCCTAATAATAAGTACCTTTTATTTAGTGATACAAGTCAACAAAATGTCATTCTACCTTTTTTGCATTCCATGAGTAACAAAAATAGAACGATACTTGTGTTGACTTGTGCATTAAATGGAAAGCACCCAATACTTCTTGTAAATTTATACAATTTCCAGTTTAAGTTAATTGTGCGTCAATTATGTATTGACTTTAGAACACAGTTCTTAATCCGAAGCTAATAATATCACAATTAAAGATTTTACAAATACATCTTTTCAATTTTATAAATTACACGCCGATTCGGACTTGATTAAAACAAGCAATTTAATGTTATTGCTGCAAATAAGCACCTTAAAAAGCTGTTAATAATTTGACGCAAATAAGCATCCCAAAAACTGTAAATAATTTATAGCGAAAAATATTACATATGAGGGGTTCAAATCCCCCAGCCGGGATTTGAACCCGGATCTCCTGTATTTCGTGTAGGCGTCTTCCTAATTCAACCGCCGGGGCTATTAATATCGTTGGACTGGATAGACAACATCCGTCTCTGGCTATTCTGAAAAGATGTAAGCGGATTATGGCATTTACGTTGGTGTGCCGGTTGAGCACAGGGGATCTGTCTTGCGGTGTAATTCACGTTGTAAGGTTGAACTAGTTTAATCAGTCGATTACGAAGCACGATGATAGTCAGTAGTGAAGGTAATATTCCATCACGTCACGAATGTGCAAGCGCATAATCCGTTTTAGGTAGCAACAGGAAAAAACAAATCCAGAGCAATAAAATTATCATGTAGCCACTGTGAAAATTCGTGAAATCTTTAATTGATCGCTGCATTTTTGAATCGCAATTTTTTTTTCATGGAAAAAAAATCCGACAAACTAAATCGACGCGCAGTTTACACTGAAAAAATGTATTTGTAAATTCTATGAATATTATTAAGCATCAAGATCCAACCGAAAATAGAATTCTTTTTTTTATTTGATTTGTTTTATTTGATTTTCTTAATTTCCACTTATAATTGTTTATAAACCTTGAAAAATAACTTTCACTAAATACTAATTATTGCGACAATCTCCAGTAAATGGTCGAATTAATAAAACATTCATCTCGAAAAGTCAGGAATTTCGGAATTTTAAACTCTGGCTAATATTTTTCATAATGAATTTTTTGCAGTATTTTAAGATGCTCGTTAGCGTTATTAATTTAATTGACGATCAATGTAATTTATTTTATAGTGTTATTTCCAGCTTTAGTTCATGATTGCGTTTCAAGTCTGTGAATCAGCGTGTAATTTATAGAATTAAAAAAAATGTATTTGTAAAACACATACCGTATAATATATGAATATTATTAAGATCCGCTTCGACAGAAAAATAGTATTGTTTCTCTTACTTGATAAATCCGTCAAACATTCGCTTATATTTTTTATCTTTCTACTTTTTAGTTTATCGCTAAACTGTATTCGTTCATGCGCGAATGATGTGCGTTGCTCATATTCGTGAAATTCGTCAGCAAAATTTTCACATATTTTCTGATCTTGTATTTTATTCATTCGACGTGTTTAACGGCGTGGGTTTAGTAATGTAGGTGCCATTTTTGAATAATTTCCTCTTTCCTTCCGCATGCTCGTCCTTCGTGACTGAATATCTTTTCTTCTTCCGTGTGATTACAGGGGCGTGTTACGCCGAGTTTGGAGTACGAGTGCCTCATACGACCGGCAGCGCTTATATGTACAGTTACGTGACAGTAGGCGAATTAATAGCATTCATTATTGGATGGAACATGGTGCTGGAGTACCTTATAGGTACGAGTGCGTGTGCGTGCGCCCTTAGCGCCTGCCTGGATGCGTTGGCAAACGGTGCTATTTCCGGGGCGATAGCCAACAGCGTTGGCACCATACTCGGTGAGTATTGACTTCGAACGCTGCCCACGCATGCAAACGATCAATTACTCCAAAACAAACAAATTTAATTAGCAGATTTTACTGGGAGAAGAAATTAGATTTTCAAGCACAGTAAGTTAACATAGGTTATAATCATTTTTTTTTAATATTTTATGAAATATTTCACGTATTTTGTTATACATTCGTAATATTATATTTGGAATATATCCATGAAACGTCTGTTCAGTAATCTATATTTTCGATATGTATAATCTACATTAAATTAAACATAATATTCGGACATATAATTTTTGAAACGTCTTATACGAGTTCACCTCGGTCTTATTCTTCACGCGTCAGTGAGCCTTAAAGTTTCCCTTCCAGTCGCTCGTAAAATAGTGAAACGGCGAGTCATAGTCGCCAGCGTCGTTGTTGGGAGCGACGTTGTAGAAATTTACGAGCAGACTTCCGTTCCTTCTTGCCGAGAGTTTAGCGACGTGACTCCTTTGTCCCTGGTTTGATCACGAAACGCTTTCTATGCGTTTTTTCGCGATAAAGTAACGACAAGAGCGATCGATGATAGACAGATGCATCGCGTGCGAACTACATGCGTTGCTCATGTTCGCACAATTCGCCAACAAAATTTTCACGTATTTACTGATCAGTAAAATTGTTGGAAAAAAGAAAAAGGAGGAAAAAAGGAACTCTAGCACACAATAGAAATGAAAAGATATAAAATAAAATAATCTTTTCGGATAAAGAGATTATTCTTTAATTTCTGAGTTATTCAAGTTTTTACTCGACGAAAGCCACATGTAGATCCCTAAGTAATTAAAATCGACTTTTATGTCTCCTAACTTCTTCGCGCATAAAGCGAGTGAATAATGGTGTTTCCCCATTAATCTCGCCGATTTCATGTCAGATAATTAGCGACGATAAGCTCGAGCGAAAAACTCGGCAAACAAAATATACACCTCGTACGTTTTGGGATGACGACATTGCTGGGATTGTTAATTCGAAAAAAATCGTCACGCTCAACCGAGTCCAATCCAATTTTCTAAAGCGAATTAATTTACTGAACAAGCTTTTCGTTGACGTGCAAAAAAGATAGAACGCACGACGGCAACCTGTATACCGCGTTTTTCCTTGTTGACCGACGTTTATACGGAGCGTTCGAGTCGACCTTAATTTTAGCGACAGATTTTTTTAGTAAATTTAAAGTTCTTTTTACAGATAATTTAGACTTTTAGACGAAAGCAGTCTTCCTTGCAAATTTTTAATACTAAATTTATGGATAATTGAATTACGAAAATAAAATTTTGGATATATCCCAGCGAACAATAACGTTATTTAATTATATTTGAACATATGTTGCAATTTGATTTGATTATAAAGAAGAATCGAAAAATCTATTAATAAGATTAAGGTCGAGAGTTCCGAGACGTGCTCCGAAAGGAGAGGACTCTGGGATTCGTCCATTAATTTATGACACGCGTAGCTACAAGCGAAACGGATCGATCGTGCATATGAGCGCAAATTGTAGACCAGCTAATTCACGTCATATGCCCGTTTTATGAATATTCAGCGATGCTTGGTAGCGACATTAAGCCAATATTCTCTAAAGTGAACGTCGATGTTTGAGGAAGACATAACGGAAAAACGTCGTTAATTTTATAATTAGTTATGATGCTGCTGACAAATAAACGCGTTATTGTGCTACAAAAACAATAGAATGTATAATTGGAAAATTTTTACATCTGACGACGAAAAACATTTTTACATACAAAATCATAATTAGCATAATATTCTTTCGTTTTATAAGGAAAGAGGAAAAAGCATTTACGTCATTACTCCGTACATACATATCACGACATACATACCACGTTCCAATAAATATCATATTGTATCCAATAAATGTTGCATGTTATGAGTTCGACGTTTACCAACATTTTTTCGAGAAGCTTCCGATCAAAACTGAATGTAATAAAATTAACATTGCTGTAAGACTAATAATGTTGCAAGAAACTTCTCTTTCAACCGTTTCCAGAGACCATAGAGTTCTCTGCACGCGCTCCAATTCCTTTGAATTTCTTGACGTCTGAATCTTTTTGTGCGGCATTGTTAGAGAGTAGTCCGACGTTACTCTTGTCCAAAGCGAGTGATTCAAGAGCGACGTGAGTGATTTCTCGTGTTACGACGTTTTCTGCTTGAATCAACCTCTTTCTGTCAGTCAATTTTCAGAGCAATTCAAGGGGGATATCTTTCTCGTGCTTTCATTCCCGCCAATTTTTGTATTTTTGAGACGAAACATCGTATCTTTTTCCATCAATTTTATCATTGTCGTAAATCGATATCCATTATTTTGCTTATGAGATAAGCCGTGACGGTTGCGTGGACTGTAAATTTTATCGCGTGTTGCTCGTATTCAGTTCGATCGTAGCAACTTGTTAACCCGTGTAATTAAAAACATAATATTCCTAGCCAGAGCTCAATGGTAATTAATATAATATAAATTCAGTATTATTGAGTCTAATTAATTGTACAGCATCCATTAAAATAAAATAAATGTTTCCGTCATTTTCCGTTTCTTGCGATTAATGAATATCGACTAAACGTTAGACGTCATCGGTTTTCATTATATTCGTGATCGGTATTAATAGAATACTATAACGCCGAACGTTACATTGTTTACGTAATATTGCCCACGTTATGATGCTTTTATGCAACACGTTCATGACAATGAATAGTAAACTGAAACTTTCGAGAGCTTCCATAATAAAACAAAAAGGTTTCATATATTAAATTACAGACACTCGCGGCGATTATATTATTACCATTAATTAACCATCCATCCTGCATTCCTAGGAAAAAGAAGAGTTTAATTAAATGCGATTCTCGCGATATTGCACTTTTTCTCTCCCTCGACGTATTTCCCATGCAATCAAAGGAGCTCCATGTAAGAATGAACTTTTACGGTATTAACGCACGTAACGTTATGAAAATGCCGCGCGTCCCATAAATTTCGTTCGCATTTCAGAAATTCATAAGAATAAGGCGAACGAGCTTCATCGTCTTATTAATACATGCGACACGCGAAAAATGTTAACTCTGACACTGTTCGTAAATTCCTTCGGTGCTTTCACGTCCCGAGGGAGGAAATGCTCTTTCAGAATTTGATATACTATACTAGACGTATGGAAGTACAGTTGAATATACCCGATTAAGTTACGTTTCTAAACACGCATGTCTTTCCTCTCAAAATGCAAAGAAAGAAAGTTATCGCAAATTTGCGAAAATATCTGTTTAGTTTGAGAAGTAATATTACCTTTGGATAAAGATTGCAAACATTCAAATTGCTTGGGGGGGGACTCGATAAATTATCTATAAATTGAATTTATGTCCACAGTATCAATATTGAAAATTAATGTTGTTATAAAGAATGTATTTATTGAAGGCACTTTAAAGGATATTAGAAAAAGATGATTATATAATGACCAACATTTTGCCCGTGTAATGTCCCGGAAGCTGAAATTATTAATGGTTCGGTGTGCAAAGGGGTTCGCTCCCTTTATCAAACTTCTTTACACAGGCGTGTCGCGGCAGCGAGGAAAGTTTCACTTGCGCCAGTGGAGGAGCAGCGGATGCGCCACGACGGCAGCAAGTGGCCGCAAAACCGGTCAACCTTAATTAACTTTTTCTCACTCGTCGTGCAGACATTTGCAGATGAGTTTGCAGCTTGGCCAGCTGTTACGCTTACAACGCGCATGAGAGCTTGTAATTGTTCACGCGCGAGCCGAATCGCGTCGCGAAATTTAATGTCGAAAGTCGGTCAAATTAATTTTGAAAATATTTTCGGAACGATGAAAGTTCAGCGAAATACTCGATGAAACCAATATGGGCGAAACAATTTGTGATTGAAATAACATGAATTCACGCATCACTCCAGAATTGGTAGTTTTTATCACCCAAATAATCACAAAAATCTCCAAAAAGAAGTATTGTATGGATGTTGTTCTTCCTAATCTCCTATAAACCTTTTCTAGATATCTTCAGAAGTTTTTCTCCGACCCTTTGTATTGATACGATAAGGTTTAATTTCCGAAAATCTTTTCGATCTTTTCTCTCCTTCAGAAACAATTCTCATAACAAGTTTCGGAAACGTCGGATTCGAACATATATTTCTCAAAGTTCATCCAAATCCGCTAATCTTCATGATTTCGACAATCCTGTGAAATTCTAATCCGCTGATAATTACCTCGGATGTTTGCCAAACACGTGTAATTCGTCAGGTCGCACGTTTCGTGCGTAACTTACGCAGATATCTCGGCTACACGCGTTTTGCGGTTAGTATACACGTAGAGGGAAATCTGCATAGGGGACAGATCTGGAGAAACGTCGGGTGAACGGGAGGAGGGAGAGGGTTAAAACGATGGAATTGTGGTGGAGGAGAGTCTGAGGGGTTGGAAAGCTGGGTGGTGTGCGGAGGAGAGAGGACAAAAGCATGAGGGGGTGCGAGAGGGGCGCTTGCGCGAATGAGACTAGGTCTGGCACCTGTGGACCTCATCGATCCAAACCGGTTTGCAAACTATACGCTCCGACGCTTTTTAACCTGTCCACCTGGTCACCGTAGCCAACCTTTTCCGTTCCCTCCGTGTCAGTTTCGTATTTTCGTAGTCTATCTGCCATCGAGCCTTTTGAGAGGAAAGTTTAATCCTTGAGATCGTTCCTTAATCCGAGCGCTCATCTTATTTGCTAGATTAGCAAGATAGTATTTCGATCTTTTTAATTCTGCAGTGCTTCTCGATGCATGTGCTAGCGATTTCCATTTCAAATTTAACGCGACAGAATAACTGAATTAATGAATCTTAAATAAATACCTACTGAATTTTAAGCAAAGAATAACGTTTTTAAGAGTTAATATTATTGTAATGTACAGCGTATATTTTTGCGGAAAGAAATGGGAAATTTACGGTCGACACACGTGTTCTTTTTAAAATAGGGAAAACTAAGGTTCGATGGCA